ATCGAAACTTTTTGACTATGTTACTAGTTACCTGTTCGGTTAAGTGGAATGATAACAATTCAAAAGAACAGGGATACACGTTGCTAACTGTTTGCAATTAATGAAACCGCTCCTGTTGACTAAAGCATTAATGTAACAATTCTATGAAACTCTTTTTGGTGTCCAAAAAGTCAATTACTCTAATGTCGTAACTTTAGCCGACGACTTTAACATTCAAGTTAAACGGACTTAACCAGAAAAAGCAATCATGATTTACGCCTGTTGAAAATGTAACAGTGACTTCTGTAAGCAAGCTTAGTCAGTAGCTTATTAAAATCCAGTAAACTTAAGGGATGGTGATTTAACGAAGCTGTTAAGACACATGGTACTGATGTAGAGTCAACCACATACTCACGATGCACTATACTTACTAGATTGAAAGTTCGACCATATCAAGACATAGTGTCGGTGTGTGGTTTTGTTGATCATTTGCATAGAGCATGTCGAGCAGATTGAGCTTTCTGGTAGGATTCAGTGACACAAACGGCTTAAGGCCATTCTCAGCGACACAAGTGGTTTCCATCTTTATTTCCCTTTAAATATTGAACTTAGTGTTATTCCATCACTCATATTTTATTAACTTTTATTCTTCATATTTGTTGTTTTATTGTAATTAGTATGATTATTTTGTCTTTATATTTTTTTCATTCGTTTTATCGTTAATATGAAGTGTAATATATTCCTGCTATTATTACTATTTCTTCTTAGTATATTGTATTATTTGCTAAATGTATCTTTTTAAATCGTTATACTTTATACAACGTAAAAAGTCGACTCAGAGTAGGAATATTTTCAAACCATTAAATTTTTGTTAGTAGTAGACATGTTATTTTGAATTTGTCTAACGTATAAGGGTTCGTACAATGAAGTATTGTCCTTTCGAAGATAAATTGGTATTTACTGATATCAAAACTATTTACGGTTATATTATTAACGATTTATAATGACGAATACTTCTGTTCTAAATTTGTCATGATATTGGTCAATCAATGTTTCCTTCCCCACTTTATCATTGTAAATGATTAACGCATTTGCTTTAAAACTTCGCAACTGATACATCACTAATGATTTTATTGACATCAGTATTTATTGACCAATTTGTACTAGTGATTTAATTAAGCAAAATGTAAAAACCTCATCAAGTTCATGATAGATCGATCCATTAATTATAAACGTGAAAAGACTGATTTCTTTGCTAGCGTGCATGCCGTTAGAGTAATATGATAGAATTACATATTAAGGGTGTTAGAATATAAACTCGAGAAATTTCGTGAATAAATGGCCAATCAGAAGTGTATTATGAACCAGTTAACAAACTACCGTACGGATTTAAATTAGAAATCGAAAATAGTCAATTTGATGGTGATTGTTTTCTAATTTCATTGAAATTACACGGAACGAAATTGATGGTTAGTCAGTCGCAACGCAAAACCTGGTACGTATACACGTCAGTTCACGTTCCCACATCCCATTAGCAGAGCGGGATCAAATTGTTAGGAAGATTCCCACAGTGGTAGAGGTAGTAGTATTAGTGTTAATAAAAGACTAGGTAACGAAGATACGACTAAAAAAATATAAATTAGTGGGGTAAAATTGTAAAAAATTCGGAGTCCTAGACTCTGAGGGAAGACAAAGAATGAACACCACCCGTCGATATAAGTGGTAGTTGGGCATACGTAACACATGTCCCAACCACCCATCGATTTCCATCTTTACATGATATCCTATTTCTTAACCCAGTCATTATTTGCTCGGTAGCCCCAAAATACACGAGTAATGCTTCGAAAACACCTATGGTCGAATAAAAGTAACCTACGAATATCCTCCATTTTTAATGGTCATGATTCACACTCATAAAGTAGGACAAAGCGAACTACTGAACAGTAAACTTCTTTGGTTGGCAGATGGATATCTCGCTTACTTCACAAGTAACTGGAGTCGGGAAAAGCCAATTGAATCTTCCGAATCCGTGCCGAGATTTCGTTAAACGCCAGCCCATGAGGACTTATGAGACTATTAGGATAAGAGAAGCGGTCAATAGGCTCAACTACTTCACTCCCTGTCACTAATTCAGGCGCCTATGCAAGCCAATCCTGAAGCAATATTTTGCATTTTCGGGGAGAGAATCGCATCCCAAACATGTTTGCATAGTTGTTTAGGGCTGTCAGTTTTAGGGTAAGTCTTCATCATATAAGCTATATTGCTATGTACAGCTGAAGGTCTCATATGAGACTGGAGGTTCGCTATTGATATTGTGGAAGGTTCGGCATTACTTTTGCTGACTGTTTATACGCAAAGCTGGTTTGCTGGTTAACCGATTTCATTCATACTGGTGGTTACTTTTCAGTGTTCTCAAGGGCCATTGTAAGGCATATCGCCATTGCTAACATTAATGAGTTTGACTGTCGTTTAAAGCGGAATAGGTCAACTTTGGCCTATTCATGCTGTGCATAATTGATTTACGCGGTCAATGATCGGAATAATTATACATGTGATGTTTATATGAATGACCCACCAAAGTGCTTGGTACCTGTGTGGTTGCGCCACAGGATTGAGCTGTACTGCTCGGGTTATAAAGTTTAAGCTTGGTTGGTGTCTGGTTCTCCTGCGAAACGGATTGAGCTGTATTGTTTTGGTTGTCACGTAAAAGTCTGGATGATGTCCGATTCTCCTGAAAACCAATGTAAAATTACCATGGCCCACAAGGGTAAATCGTATAACTGAATAAACTGGTTGATCCTGCCAGTAGTCACATGTTTGCTTGCTTGTCAGAGAAGTGTCTTCACAAAACAAAACAAAATCATCTGTGCATTCTTAGTCAACAAGTAAATCTCCTGGTTGATCAGCCTCTAAAAAGTCAGACAGAGTTGCAAAATCTGCACCCAGGTGATACTTAGTTAACTTAGCAACCACGCTACCTAGGAGTGTTTCATTAAGTAAAAGACTATACCTGACCTACTTTTTATTGTGGTCATTTTGTTGAACCTTCCTGTTTTTACAGGTTCAGATCTAATTCTTCTGTCCGCAAAGCATTTGATTTAAGTTTGAATTTAGTTATAACTTGTGAGTTTTTTCATGTCTAATTACGTAATGGTTCTATTTGTTTTAAAGGAACTAGAAAGGTTATTTCATAACGTGATGTTATACAACTACTATAATTTCAAAATAATACATTCATCAACTGAGATAACATAAAATCTTTTCATTGGGTCTTTTCTACAGCCTAGAAGAAATCAAATGCTAATAGTCTTGTTATTATGTGTTCTACGTGCTGCTATCATCCCATTATGTATGCTGTGTAATGCACAACCTAGATTTTATTTACCAGTCATATTTAAACATGATATTTTCCCAGCATTCATGATTCTATTTTTGGGACTAACTAATGGTTATTTAGTATCGATATCCATGATACATGGACCAAGGCAAGTGTTGTTTGTGCTTTTTTCATATACTAACAATTTCCTACACTGTAAAGACAAACTTTTTCTATCAAAATATTCGTAATAGATAGTTGAATTAGTAGTAATTCACTGTATATTGTACAGCTAGTTTTGAATCAAAGATTTGAATTTTATTCATTTCATTTACAGTACAGTTAAGCACTATCACTTACGAGCTATTCGACAATCGGTCACCATTATTATTATGGTAGCGAGTCATCAATAACTACAGTCATGAATATTTCTCTTTTTTCATTTGACGTTGACAGACAAATCAATCAGTAATGTGCGACACAGAACGTGGTATATGTACTGATTGGTTCAAATTGCTGCACTTACATTAGCACGGTTTTCTTCCAGCATACTTCTATATCACAAAACACGGTGTTTGGGGATAAGTAATACATGTCTCAATTATCTCAGTCGTTGGACATTCACTACCTCACCAACCTGTCTGTCATTTTTGTCTAGCACTGTCAGTCTAACTTCAGCAATACACGCTCAGGCGTCCCAACATGCACAATGTTTCTAAGGCATCTATGATCAGATTCCAGTAGCTTACGGATATAGGAGAAGCATAAGTTAATAGCTACTGTTAGGTTGTTGAAAATTTGATTTGTTCACAGTTCAAAACTAAGATTCGATAACCAAATCCATTTGACAAACTCATTTCTACATTAGATTTTTGCTCTAAATATTTAGATGAATGGATATAAGTGACAATGATTCTTCCTGCAAGTGTGTTAGTTAGAGTTCAAATAACTACTTCTTTACTGCATAAGATAATATCATGGTTGGAATTATTGGTTCGCGTGGTTTGATTTAGGACTTAATTCAACAACACTAATGAATAATAGCATTCATAAACGTATCGTAATTTTTGACAAGGTAGTGCAGATGTTGTTCAGGATTTAAGGGACTTAGATATGTTAGTTTACAAACTCTACGCAGTTTATTGAGTACAGAAAATGATTTTGCAGGGATTATTGATTTATGCTCGTAACTTCTTGGCTGACTTACAAGGTACTACCAGGAATTCTGACACTTTAAGTGATGCATAGCGAACGTGATTATATGTTCATTCACTTTCCATTAAATTTCGAATTTCTTGAACATCCCACACTATTTCTACCTGCTTGTATATCACACCTTGTAATTATCACTAGTTTTTATTTTTGTAATTTTACTAATTATTTGATATATGCGTATGATTAAACTTCCCTGTTTATTGTTTCGTTTAGTTTCGCATCACCTGGTAACCAAGAATCCGCTGGTGCAGCATTAAGTATATACTTATCTTTTGGATTATCACTTGGTGTTGCCATATCAGTTGGTTTAGTACAAGTTTTATGATTGTACGCGCGTTTGTCAGTGACTTGATTTTATCCATGCATTCGTCACAAAACAGTTAAAAAACAAACAACTGACCTTTTTTGGTCACATATTACATATATTTTCATTATTAATTGCTTTGCAAAAAACAAAAATAAAGAATTACAGTGTCTGAATTTACTACTTCTATGAATGTACAGATGACAACATTGAACACGTACTATTTTCCACGGTTGTTGAAGGTGATTCTGATTTTGTATGTTCACTGTCTTCCTTGGGAAATGATGGTTGTAATTTTGATCGGAAAAAATCAAATATATGATGTAATACAGTACTAGGAATGAGATCATGTTCTGTTGTGCCTTGAATTAAAAGCAAAAAAGAAAAGTTGAAAAAGAAACAAATATTGACAAGCATTATGAGCAAAGATAGGTGGTGTTTATTTATTTATTGTATTTGAACACATAAATATTGGTACAAAGAAGCAATATTTATCTCATCACAAATCTAATAAGACGGATGGTGGCTAGCAGTGGAATCCAGGACTCACGTTTCATCCTATTTGGGACTCGTCAGCTAGATGTACTTACATCCGAGTTGATGTTCACTCTGGGACTAGAACCCAGCACCGTTCGTTTTAAACAGTATCGCGTCCCAAATAGAACAAAACGCGTGTTCTAGATTCCACTGCTTGCCACCACCCATCATTGCTTATAATGCTTGTGACTTAAGGCAATATCAATGCACAAGATGCATATATGCCAATAAGAGACGGATCAATTGCAGTCCCAAACATCAATGGGAAGATCCAAACGAACAGTACAAAAACGAATTAAATATTGACAAGGTTCATGGATGACATAGACTGTAATTTTCACATTTGTATAAATCATTATTGTTTCTGAGCCGATCGAAGTAAAATACTGTAAGAGTAATCATCATTGAAAAAACCTGGTCAATAAGACAGCCTAGAACATGTGTGAGTAGGTTCCAGTTGTTATATCACATCAGTATGATGAGATGAAATAAATTAGATGAATATTACAAGAGCCGAAGTAATAGCAAGATTAAACACTGAGTTCATACTTCGAAAAGACAATGAAAATGTACATGTGAAGGAAAAGAGGTACTCCGGACCTAGTACATTATTACTGATCCTAAACTGCATAACCTAGTCTTCAACTACTGATCGTGGTTGTCTGATAAACCCCAGTCAGGTAGTCAACATCTCCCAACAAGGTCAGCACATATATGTGTATCGAAAGAACAACTCTGCAGGTAAACTTAACTAAAACAAACACTTTAAAGCGGTATTTAAAGATAAATGTGGTAATTAATTTTAAAAATACCTACTTGATGACAGTGTTGGGATAGCATGTCGTTGTGCATTAACTTGTGGATTGAGTCGTGTACCTAATTTGAGATTGGCTGCTACATAGTTCACTGAATTCTGAGTTGTTTGTAGTAGTAGTAGTAGTAGATTGAAAATGAAAGTAGATATATGAAATTTAGGCACATCAACAATGGTGTTACGACAGACCATTATGAAAAATTAATAGATCATACTTTTTTCCAAAATTTTCGACAAATAAACACATTTAAAAGTTTGGGAATTGAATGCCTTTGAGCATTCATTTTAGCGCAAAATGTTCATTTAACACAGAAACATCGAGTAATTAAACCTACAGTGAACTTGAGTCAACAACTGTCTTCTAAATCTAAGTAACTTCTACACACTAATATGAACGAAGTTTATCAAAACGAATGATAAACACTCATCCTCTTCTATATTTGAAACAGGTCTAAGGATTGATTTTGATTCAACCTTTTTATTATCACATATAGTTTTTGGGTGAATACTTAGATCTTTGAAAGCTTTGGTCATAAGAAAAATATTTAAAATTGCTTGTATGTTAAAAATCATTTTGCACTTATATTAATCCAACTCGGGTAATGGTGCACTTTAGTTTAGTGAGTCGTTCCTCTATCACTCTGGTGCTTCCTACATTTTTATTTATACTCCTTTTGATATATATATATATATATATATATATATATATATATATATAACCAGGTTATTACAATTATAATGGGGCTCATTAATTCATATAATTCTGATAGAGTTATTGTTTTAGTTCGACTATCAGTCATCATGTTTAGAAATTGTTGGAAAATTTACTTGAATATCATCCGATTATTATGTAGTAGTTATTCTAAAAAATGAATATCAGTGAATATCACCTTAAACAGTCCGAAATCGTGATAACGTGGTGTAAAATGAAATAGATATTCAAATTACAATCTGAGTCGTATAATAGTTAGGTACATGAATGGTTTTCGATAGTTAAAGTTTGGAGTAAGCAAAGATGAATATACTTTATAGTTTTGTTCACATTTTATAGGTACACTAAAGTGAAAGTAGACTCTCCAACATACGACAATTAGAATTGTTCGTGGTATGATCCCAATTTATGAATGACTTTAACAAAATATTAAGCATAAAAATACCCTATCGCAAGTGGACAACAATGTGTTCTTTATCAGTACAGAAATTTGTGGAGATTGTAGTATTTTAACGGTTGAATTCGTCCTAGTATGGTACTCAGCAGTGTGGATTCATACTGGGAGGGAATGTTCGTTCATTGCTTTTACGTCTTCAATGGAGGTCTGGTTTAGATCGACTTGTGAATTTAGCTATGAAAATGTGTTCTTTCTTCATAAAACTAACGTACCTGTGATAACCATTCTCTGAATTGTAAGACTTTTTCTGGTATATTTTGCTGATATATTGTAGGCTTATAAATACAGGGTAATTCATTATCATTAATATTCTGTTCATTAAGGATATTCAACCCCCATCCAACCCCAGCTGCACATAAATCCAACACATCTGCTGAATCAGTAAATACAACAGCTTTTACACGACTTGTCAACTCACGCCATAAACGCTCCGCTTTACGTTGCCATGCTCTTGCTAAACGTAGTTGTAAAAATTCATCTGAATTATTATTATCCTTTGAAATGATATCAGACCATATACCAACACTTTGAGGTATGACACCACCATGTTTAGCGAAGCGCATGGCATCCAAGTCACTACCACTTACTGCTGGTAAATTATCAACACATAATTTATTTTCAGTTTGGTTTGTAATAGAATTTGAGGCATTTTTCTTTGAAATGTTTTTAACTAATAAGCCGTTATCATTTGGTAACCAAAATGCACGCCTTGAGGCTTCTGGAGTGACATGATGTCTCCATGGTCCATAAATACGTCGATCGAACCATAAACGTCCAGTTGAAACTACAAACAATTAAAGTTTAATACAGTTCAGTTGTGGCTATATTTCGGATGGTTATACATAGTGGGAAAAGTTAGACTGTATATAAGGATTACTGTATTTGAGGTTCATATTACAATTATTTGCAAACGTAATTATTAGATACTTGTAGGATATGAAATTTTTGTACTACATTCAAATAAGATTTCCGTGTGAATACATTATTTCTTTTTTCGTTGACACTCAGCAATCGGAAATTTGACCAGGAAAAATTTGAACTTATTTTAATTTTCACCATTTAATCAGATGATTAGAAGATTGATGAAGGCCATTTACGAGAAATGTAACAGATTCTAGATATTAAACAGTTCCAAAGTAATTATTTCAGAAATATCCGAAACCCAAATATCCAGCGACTCAATATCATTAAGCGTCCGGTATGGCTACATGAACTTGTATTGCACGAACGAATCAACCATAAATAGTGATCAAGATTTCCGATTTAACCGAATGGATGTTAACAGTGATCTGAATTTAAGTTACTACATAATTAGATTGAAGTTAATTCTTATCACAAACTAATACTATTCAGCGATTCACTGAAAACCGATAGACACTGTTTTGTTTGTAATATTCGCGATTCCTAAGAATCATGTTACCGAAATTCTATCCGGGATCGAACCCAGGGACTTCAGATCTTGGAGTGAACAATCCACTTTTACAAGACTGAGCAGGAATACAGAAGCTTTTTGATGGAGTTTTGTTCTCTGAGCTGGATGGTTTGGTCGTGGAGCTTTCATCGTTCTTCTGAACGACATCATCAGCACAAACTTCAGATAGAAGTGAAGTGTTCGAATTTCTCCATATGTGTTTCACAGCTTGTTCTGTGCACCTCGATGTTGATTGGTTCTTGTTGACCTTAAATTTATCATTGTTTACTTCTTTGTTTTGGTTGTGTCTCCCATTGGTTTGATTTTTGTTCCCATATTTATGCATGATTTTCCTGATTGGTTGATAAATTGGATTGATTTCAATATGTTTGTTAATTGCTGATTGACCTGAGTGCCAGGCTTCTAGAAATTCTCTGGTGTTTTTGGAGTTTCCTCTGTCTAAGATTTCTACATTTTCCCAATCGAATGAGTGTCCGTAGTTATCCACGTGTATTGAAATAAGTGAAGAAATATCATGGCGTTTGACTGCTAATTGATGTTCATGTAGGCGTAGGTGGAGGGGACGTCCGCTTTGTCCGATGTAGTGTTTGTCGCAGTTGGTGCAATTTATTTTGTAGATAATGTTTGATTTGTTCTCCTTTGTTATTTCATCTTTTGGTTTGCATAAGATTGATTGTAGTGATTTTGTTGGTTTGTGTGCCACACCTATCCCGAAGGTTTTCAGCAGTCTCGTTGCAGTTTCTGATATTCCTTGTATGTACGGTAGGGTGATCCTTTTACTGATTTTTGTGCTTGACTTGGGTTGTGATGCTGTGTGCCGTTGGTGCTTTTTGATGAAGTTGATTGGGTAGCCGTTCTTTTGAAATATGTCCTTCAGGTATTTCTCTTCATTTCTTCGTGCTGCCAGTGTGCTGCAGTGTTTCCTCGCCCTCTTGAACAATGTGTGTACGCAGTTGATTTTGTGAGCCCTTGGGTTGTTGCTGTTGTAGTTGAGAATTTGATCTGTATGGGTTGGTTTCCTATATACTTGAGTTTCCAGTTTTCCTGTATCAGTTCTAGTGATCAATATATCCGAAAATGCTAGTTGGTTGTTTGTCTCAAATCTTTGACACAAATCTCACCAAATACATGACGCTTCAAATTCAAAGTCTACTGGAGCTCATCGATTTATGCCTAACAACATATTTTCAATTCAACAACAAAATCTACAAACAAACAAAAGGGACACCAATGGGATCACCAATATCAGGACTGATCGCAGAAGCAGTGATGCAAAGACTAGAAGCCACGATATTACCAGTGATCAAGCCAAAAATTTGGATTCGCTACGTAGACGACACCTTCGTCATCGTCAAAAAGGATGAACTGGAAAACACATACAAACTGATCAACAACGTTTTCAATGACATCAAGTTCACAATGGAACAGGAGTCAAACAACCAACTAGCATTTTTGGATATATTGATCACTAGAACTGATACAGGAAAACTGGAAACTCAAGTATATAGGAAACCAACCCATACAGATCAAATTCTCAACTACAACAGCAACAACCCAAGGGCTCACAAAATCAACTGCGTACACACATTGTTCAAGAGGGCGAGGACACACTGCAGCACACTGGCAGCACGAAGAAATGAAGAGAAATACCTGAAGGACATATTTCAAAAGAACGGCTACCCAATCAACTTCATCAAAAAGCACCAACGGCACACAGCATCACAACCCAAGTCAAGCACAAAAATCAGTAAAAGGATCACCCTACCGTACATACAAGGAATATCAGAAACTGCAACGAGACTGCTGAAAACCTTCGGGATAGGTGTGGCACACAAACCAACAAAATCACTACAATCAATCTTATGCAAACCAAAAGATGAAATAACAAAGGAGAACAAATCAAACATTATCTACAAAATAAACTGTACCAACTGCGACAAACACTACATCGGACAAAGCGGACGTCCCCTCCACCTACGCCTACATGAACATCAATTAGCAGTCAAACGCCATGATATTTCTTCACTTATTTCAATACACGTGGATAACTACGGACACTCATTCGATTGGGAAAATGTAGAAATCTTAGACAGAGGAAACTCCAAAAACACCAGAGAATTTCTAGAAGCCTGGCACTCAGGTCAATCAGCAATCAACAAACATATTGAAATCAATCCAATTTATCAACCAATCAGGAAAACCATGCATAAATATGGGAACAAAAATCAAACCAATGGGAGACACAACCAAAACAAAGAAGTAAACAATGATAAATTTAAGGTCAACAAGAACCAATCAACATCGAGGTGCACAGAACAAGCTGTGAAACACATATGGAGAAATTCGAACACTTCACTTCTATCTGAAGTTTGTGCTGATGATGTCGTTCAGAAGAACGATGAAAGCTCCACGACCAAACCATCCAGCTCAGAGAACAAAACTCCATCAAAATCATCCACCTGAGCTACAAATCTTCTCCACCATACAGAAGCTTATATGTACAACATTCTATTCTTACTATAGGGAGGTTGAGTATGTATTGATGAGAAGTTTCAACATGAAGTAAAATATTTTTACAGTACTCCATGGTTTTGATTACTTATTTACGTGATATCTTTACTGGTAACATTTTAAACTGAATACACTGAAAACCTTAACCTTAAAAATAATTTGTAACCGAGTTATGCATTACCTTTTTTCTTGCGTACATACAGATGCTAGCTAACTGGTACTACATACATTAGGTTATCTAGTAGAGAAGACTATTGTTCAGCTTGTACCATATATTCTTGTTGTTTGGTTAGACCCAGTTTCATACAGAGAATCAAGTGCTCACTGATATAGGCCAGTTTATTTACACGGTAGATAGCATTGGGTCTAATAAACTGACAGGTGATGAAAGTTCGAGAGTTATTCGAAAAAATGTAGCCTATGCGATCTACGGGATGGAAATGAAGAACGAAGACGAAGTATAAAGTTGGACAAACTGGGCTTTAGTGCCGCTGTTGCTGAATTTAAATAGTACAGATGTAGTGCTCAAACGAAAACTTATACAACTTCCTTTTTTATCATAGTCTCAGGCTCTAGTTTTCCAATGTTATTAACCTCTCTATTGATGTCTTAAACTAATAACTGATTAATTTTGTTTCCATACCCTTTCTGATAATATTTCATTTTACCTTGCCACCCAAACAGCTTTTCATAATAATCATTATTTGTTTAATGTCTAAGATATTTTCTAATGAATATTTTAATGTCTTACTAATCATATTTACGGGTTTTTTTGATAAACATATCACTGATCATTAAAGTAAAAATAAATTATGTTTTACGAGTATACAACTATGAAAATAGATTCATCGAAAAGAGTACTCGCAACTGAACTAAACTTTTTCGTTTTCACCGCAATACAATGCAAACATGAAGTTCATTACGTAATAATAAAAGAATTATTTACAAGTTGATAGATTTATCGTCCATTTACTAACATAAGAGTTACCTTTAGGAAGTATTTCTCTAATTTCATCAGGAATAGTGTTGATAGTCACAAGAGGTTTATTTTGTTGAGATTGTTCATAATCATTTGTAATGAGAGGTAAATTATCATTTGTAGGCTCCAAAATATATGCACTTTTACGTGTACTATTTTCATTTTTATGGGTCATAAGTATAGGTCCAGAAGATAAATGACGTCTTCTTGTAAAACGTATTTTTGCTTTGTCAATATTATTGATGCCATTGTTATGATAGTCACTAGGCACATTATTATATGCAACTTGTGTAGAAGGATTATTTCCATCGCATTCATTAGATAAACGTGGTTTTTTAGAAGTGTTATGTGATACTGTATCAGACAGAACAACTGGTGATCTGAATCAAACAAGAAATGTGAAAGAAACTTCCAAAAATAAAATTTAAATATCGTTAATTAACGGTTATTTTTACTAATGTTAGTCTTCCTACGATTGAAGAATTAAAAACAGTTTAGTGAAGAAACGTTTCTTTCCGATGGCATTATTTACTCAAACTATACAGTTAGAGTAATCGATTGTCTCAGGGAATAATCTTTCTCTAGGTGTAAACCTATATTTCCATGTAGCATTAGATCAATCAAAAACATAGTTCTAATCGTCCAATGGAGAACCTGCTTTTAGACGATTAAAAACTTTGAACTTCAAAGGATAATTATTTCAGAAATCTTATTATCACAGTTATGTCGTTTCACATGTCTATATCGAACAGCGAGGTAGAGAGAATATATTTTGAGACATTTCTCGGCGTTAGATTTACATTTGAAGAAGAGTTAGCCAAACAATTAAGAGTCTGCGGGGAATCAAGCTTTCTGACATTTTATTTTATGTGCTAGCCATTGTAGAAAGCGATATTTATATTAAATGTGTGTGCAGAATGAATCGGCATCGTCAGTAGCTGACGACGATGTTTCTGCAAATATCCAGTATAATAATAAATTAGGCAAGCTATTGGTTATGGATGTCAATCCTTCGCTCATCTTCGAATGGTAGGTGGATCGTTCACCGGAAACAGGTCAATGGCATATAACCATGGTCTACTATGCGTTGTTCATGAGTGAAGCTCATGGTTCCGTTGTTTGACAGATTAAATGAACAGCATTCGCCCTTTAATGCTGTTGGGAGCCGCAGACATTTTTATGATTGATATCGTTTACGAAACGTATGAAGAGTGAATCATTGTACAAGATATCTGCAGTATGCGCAACAGTGTGTGTGTTCAATCAATTAAAACTTCAAGATTTGTTTAATGGTCTTCATAATGCTACCTTAAAAGGTAGTTTTGACATTTTTGCAGCGCACATCGTCCAGCTGGTAGGCAAAGAGCAAATGCAGCGTTTTGTGCAGAGTTCACACGAGTCAGAACGTTTTGCAGCGAGTGAGCAAAACATTATTTGATCACTATTTCTCTAAAATGTGTCAACCGGTACGTTTCAACAGTTTCTGAAGGTAATATACACAAGAGAGATTGAACGGTAAAAAAATGTGTTTGGTCCATTAATACCATTTCTAGACTACAATTGTACGTCAACGTAATTGAACAGGAAAATCCCACCTTTTTCCATTACCTTGAGAACAACTTGCTGACGTAGAAAAAAGATATTTTATTGGAAACCTTCGTAGACGAATTTAGTAAACGTTAATGATTTCCATAACAGGATAAACCCTCTTCCTCTCAGACTTTTACCGACAGCATTCAGTTAAAAATGTCTTTTACGCAGTTGAGTACAGGCTAGATTTCTCACTTAGTGGTCTATTTAAACATGAATAATACTTCATGTGCTTAACTCATTTCACTGTAATTTAGTGATTTCAAGCAACTCCTTTATGCATCCGTCATGTGATCATATGATTTCTTATATTAGCTATTTCCATCTACTTTCATGTGTATTCTGTTTTGCTGATAGATCACCTATCAAAAAAAGTCTCATGTGTTTTGTTAAGTGATTTATTTTTAAAAAAAAATATAACATGCAATTAAATATCGTGTATGCATTGAATTCGTTATTACTAGGTTTCTAAGTTGAAATTCATAATGCACAATCATTAACCCTCTTGAATTTATTACTTCTGTACTACTGCACACACAGTTCCCATTGACCTTATTCAATTTCTTCAGAAGTGAACCACCAGGATAAGAGCTGCTTCATTAGTTAAACAGTTTATATAAGTAAACAAGCATACAACCAATCAAATAAGCCAAATTCTAAAAAGTAGAAAAATTCAAAATTTTGATAACCATAGCATTCCCGTTGGGTTGTTCAGCCATACAATAGTTTTTTAGCTAATTAGGATATAAAGTAGTGTATTGGAAAAGGAGGATTACATCATTTCAAAGGTCAAAATGAAAGTTACGTGACAATCGAGAATTTAAAGGAAGATAATGAGATGGAACTAAATGTGTGAAAGTTAATTGTTCACTTGATGTATATGAGAAAGGTGAATAATAAATTGCTAATTTCGGTTACACAGTCTCATCTTATATATTCTTTAGAATCACCTAAACAGTCAAACGACTGGGTTTGATAGGATCATAAATCAACAAATTGTGTACTGAGGAAGCGTTAGTAATTCATTCTTTCAAGCCTCAGCTCTGTATTCAAAAGTGAAACGTGCAAGATATCATTCTTTTGTAGCCCCAACACTTGATTTTCATGGTCGGTAATTTGGTTGTTAATACATTCGTTTGGTTTTTTAATTATTCTTTATTATCACTTACACGTTTATAACTTATCCTTCACCCGTTTATAATCGCTAAGTAGGCGACTAACTTTCACACATTTAGTTCCATCTCATTATTAAATTCTCGATTCTTAAGTAACTTTCGTTTTGATATCTGAAATGATGCGATCCTTCTATTTTTTAAGACACTACTTTATATGTTACTTAACAAAAACATATTTACATTACGAAATATAGAAATGTTAATTACTATAAATTAACTTATATTTATATATGGCTTAATGCCTATAAAAGATAAACTGTGTATCTAGCTACTGTTTATTTTTGTGTGCTACGCCAATCAATTAACAAGTAGGGTATTCGTTGACCTTACGATATATTCATACTTTCACTATTACATGTACTACTATTTACGGTTTTTATTTTCTTAATTCTTTTCTTGGTGAGACTATAATTTATGGACGACCTTTGAGCGGTGCTAAAGTGATCTTGTGATTGTCTGCCTATTAACTAGGACTAAATGAGGGTTTATAAAGCAGTGTGAGGAATTAGAATTAAGATTTACAGTTGATGGTTAGGGTTACAAACTACATTTAGGGTTTTCATCACGAACTGACATCAGTTAAAACGCCAAAACGCTGTTTAGTTAAATGGGTGGGTGAATTTCGCGCCTAAATCTAAGACCTGTTATCTTATATGTGAATAGTTCATCCATAAATTGTAGTTGTGCCTTGACATTACCTTATGAAAGGAACTGAGGTAACTTTAGTATACATATTTAAGAACCATTAAATTAATTAGGTTACCATTTAAACACCGATCATTTTTATTTCACTCTGTACTTGTTTTGATCTTGTATGAAATACTAACCATAAAACTGTAATTATTATAAATGATCCCTAAAAACAAATAATGAGTCGGCAGATTGTGTACTGTTTTAATATAATTTAGAAAAAAAGGTGTGGATGTGTAAACTGTGAACAAGCAGCTGACCATTGTATGAAATTCAGAGATATTCATAGGTGATGTTTATAACGTCATTCATTTCATACTAGATGTATTAGTGAGTGCACGTGCATGCATACTGCGTCTTAGTGATTGGTATTTATACTTCTAAACTGACTTTGTGTAATACTGACAATATATATATGTGGTGGCTGTAATCAATCATTGTTATACAAAATCAAATGCATTACCTTTAACTCATTCGGCTATCGACGGACGTTCTATAAAACTGATATATTTACACAAATCGATCATTGAGTAGTGAACAATATAATACTTCTCTAATCCTTAGTGCTGACAGAATTCTGTCGTTATCATTCAATCTTAAAGAGTTAGGAGTAAAAGGCAGATAACTGTGAATCCAATTTTTACACACATGATGTCGGTCAGTCAGCTACAACGTAGGACCAGGCACATTTATACATCGGTCGAAGTTGCCATACCTTATTAACACGACAAGATAAACACCGGATTCATAAAAGTAGTTAATCAAGTGATGGTAATATATAAAAGAAAGATTGCATATAAGGATATAGTACAGGAAGAAAGAATTAGTTCGTAGAAAGAAAGATATGAAGCGATTTTAGTCTCACAGTTTAAGGGAAGACAGAGAGTATATACATCTACGCCATCGTGATCGATTCTGAGTCACCCACAGTCTACAACCATTGGTTACGATGTTGAATTAGTTAGACTAGTGTTTAGTATATACATATGATTAATATAATCACTTCCTTTAGATTTTTTTGAATCTACAAACTTTAATTTTTATGGAAACGACTTTAAGCCAAGATGTATATGTAACATGTTTAGTGCGAATGAAAAAGATATTCATTTAATGATCAATAGGTCAGCGGAAATAGATCGAGTCTCAACCTCTAATCCTATAGGAGGCAATTACATTATAGACAGAATTAATCTAGAATCCTATGGTCTACACTGTTTCCAACTTCTAGTGAGAGATCATTACTGGTGGAGTTTAGGCATATCGGGGAAGAGATATTCATCATTGATGGAACTCGGTAGGCTTTTTAATTTGAATTGACTGAAATCGAAAATGTGAACCAATGAATTTTTACTTAGTGATATTAAGATTAAGCGACTGTTGTGAGAGCTGAAGTTTGTTTGTTACTTCAAGCAGAAATTTATGTGGACAATTAAAAGTATTTTTAAAAAACACACGTAAAAGTGAAATCTGAGCAGCCATAAATTCACCAGTATGCAGACGTCTAAGTAGATAAAACTATCTTTACCTGAAAGTAATGATAAGTACATTCATTCATAATACTAATGTCAAAACACAATAATACCACTTGTTAATGCTCATAAACATACTATGTGCATGATAATTACTGACTATATTGAAATGTCAACACTTATTTATACAAAACATTACATAATTTTGAAACAAGATTACAATGACCTAATGTAACAAAAATCAACGTAAAATAAACAAATCAATAACGGATTTTTCAAGAGACAGGACAGGGTTCATTTGAAATAAACTCGTAACTTAACGAGACAAATCAATATCAGGAATATATACATTAAATAATAATAAAAATAAAAAATAATAATAATAATAATTGCTATTCATGATTCAATAACAACAAATTTCTAACTATAGTTATTAAATAAAGTTCGATTTTCATTGTTTTACAATTAACAGTCGATGTAAAAAATGAAGATAGATACAAGCCATTGGTTTTTAGTCAACGACAATTACTTTTGATGACAATAATTCGATAGTAATCATATGACCACAGTTCACACTTAATCAATAGTTTTACGTATGTTACATGAATGTCCATGTTTATTCAGTTATCACGTTAAGGTTATAAGAGTGAACTAATTTCCCCGACCAATAATAAACAAAGTTTCATCAGTATTACTATTTTTTAAATCAATACAAATAGTTTATATAAATAATGATTCCTCTGCGAATCAACTAACTGTTACTAAGAGGAACAGACAGGTAAGTAATAATTGTGGCATTTGAAAATAGTTGACATGTCATTTGGATGAGTAGTTTGCTATGAATTGGTTACTGAGTTCTAGTGTATATCACATTTCCTAGTTTTCAGTCGAAACGAATTAGAAAAACTGATAAGCTAACTGAATTTAAGTTTTAATATTTAGAGGAGTGATAAAAGAATGGCAGATTTCGAAGAGAATTCATAAGTAAATATAATGCTACAAACAAATATTTTACCTCGAAGAGCTACGTTTCCTGAGGTAGGAGCAGGTTGGAATTAGCTAAAGGCGATCAAACCAAAAAATAGCATTAGTTCATGAAGTTATTGCTTATCAGGTTGAGACAACCGAGTTAAAGTCCATGCAGTTATGGTGATCAGTGGTTGGGGAAATTGAGTGACATGGTTCAGAATTAGTCGCAATGAGTCAAGTGTACTTATTTTTCATCTTCTCTCCAAAAGTATTCTCTTCAAAAGTATTGTTTACCTTTGTTACATGAACTAATTCTTTCTTATTGAATTGTTTTCCTCATGTTTAATTTGTTTTAATACTACTGCTACTACTACTACGTTGTTATTCATTTTAACAATTCTATTTCACTGTACTGATGTAGTGCGTCCACATCGATGGATGCATATAAGTAGTAAATTCTATATTACTTAGAGCTGAATCCTACAGAAATGTATTCACAAATCCCCATTAGAAGGTCAGACTGTGACGATATATTTGGAAAAAAATGTTTTAGTTCCTTTAAGATTGTAAATAAGTTATATTGACTACAATAAAAACGTAAGGAACACATTTTATATATTCATAAAATTACTATCGAATGAGTAAATTTTTTTGGTTTAAACGCAATATATTGCGCAAGTTAGAAACGTCATGTGATTTAAACTACATAATTATGAGTATTATGAAGTGATAATCAAAATTAAATGATAATTTCCAAAGATTTAGTTCGCAAATCCTATGGTCAACATTTTTAATTAGAGAAAGATCCTGTTAGCGGGACATAGACTAGATTAAAGCATGCTCAATGCATAATTGCTTTGGTGCACGCTGATTGGCTAATTCTTATCCAATCAGCACTAGTCGATAGTTGGAGAATACTCTGGAATCTTATTATGTAAAAACTATAAATATACTGACGTTTTCCCTATTGTGCTTCTGACTTCCATCTAACCTTATTATTTGGAATATAATCTCTTCCTGTTAAACCGTGTTTTGATTTGGGGACTTGTCGAGTGAATCGGTGTTCGAGAATACTAAGCAATAGGAATAGCTAGGTCATTACCGTAAGAAAAGAGAGTTTAAAACAGATCCTAAACATCATTCCATGCCATTATTAGTGGATAATTGTATCATCACTCTAACACTGATTAAACTTTGCAAATTCTCTTAAATATCATGAAATTTGAAATAATTATTAAAGAAGGAACGAATCGAGCGTTCCTTCTTTATTTACCAAGTGTCAAAATAATTATTAATTTGTAGAATGTTTTAATACTTAACTCCTAGTTCTTAAGAACAATATTTGAACTGAAAGAAACTAACAACTAAAGATTCACAACTGAATTCATAAAAAAAACCAAAGTAAAATTAAGCGTAATATTTGGAACACTGGTTTACTGATTAAATTGCTCGATTTTGTTAACTAGTAGGTTACAGTTTCTACGCTCAAGCACAAATATGATTGGTTGAATATGTGGCCTGCTTGAATATCTGGGCTACTACCTGATCCGGACATCTAGATAATTAAACAAGTTATCTGCTTTTTGTTTGTTTTAACACATCATTATGCCTACTAATTGCATAACCTATTCATGCACGTTTATGAAAAGTTTACGATCATTCACTGTATAAGTTACGAAAAAGTACAATCAGAGACATCGTGATGGCTGACAATATGCAATTAAAAGAGTGAACATTATTCAGATGTCAGTTCCTGAACTGCTAACGTCTAACTCATTCAATATTTGTCAACAAGATCGATCAAGAAACAAGAAAAGAAAACTTGTTGAAATACTTTGTGCTGAGAATTCCATATTGTACCAAAAAATCTAATATTGAGTAAAACCAATAATAATAATAATAATAATAATAATAATAATAATAATAATAATAAAAGTATGTAGCTAGTTAGATAGTAGGTGTCACTAACGCCTTAATCTAAACAATTTGTATTAGATCAATGAACTGCATTAACCTAATTATTATTTAGACGAAATATTACACCCTTTTAAATTATATAAACAACTAAGACTTTTCAAGACATAAATGAATGATGGATGAAAGAGTAACAAAATTAGGTCAAAAATTTTGTTAAATATTTCGTATTATGAACTTTATCGGAAGAGCATATATATATAATGTAACATTATATAACATATTTCGTTATCGTAATGTTGTTCTGATCACCCGTTTAGCAAAGTTACACGAATACAATGATAAATAGACCTATCTGTCAATAATATCCACACAGTGAGTCGTTGGAAGAGACTGAATATGTCCGACAGGAAGTCGACGGTTATAAGTCTTATATTATTCATGCAGTCTTCATAACTTATACCAAGAAGTCTGATTCACTGGAAATAACTGTTTTTGTTAATGCACTATCTCCTTAAACAGCTCTAGGCAATTTCAAATTTTCTCAGAGTTTTCCTCAAGTTTAAGATTAATCCATGTACTTGTTGGACACAATGGACGAAACGTAACACAAATCTTATTAGGCCTAAAGTCTTTTAGGGATGCTAGGTCCCCGGAAATCACTCGGTAAAGTTTGTGCCAAAAGCGCCCATTATTACATTCAATTTGCTTCCCATCTGGAAGGAATTTAAATGTTATTGGTTGGTTTTCTCATTTAGTACGCTATTTTGTGACGTTTCTCAAGGACATTTTTGTATTGTATAAATTACGCATGAGTTGACTGTTTGTTATCCATTCTTCTGGGCTGCTTGAGGAATTATATAATGACCCAACCGAGTCTGGTCTTCTTCCCCTAGTTGGCAGGGCTGGAACGCGGAGAAATATCTTAGCTTTGTTCTGTTATTGGGTCCCTGGTATTGTCCCGTTCGCTGGTCAAAGGTGATATATCGCGAACATAACACAACCCAATTACCAGGTTTTCTTGAATCTCCTACGTATTATTAGGAAAGATAATGGTCTAAAAACTGAGTAACAGTGCGTAAGTTTAAACATTTCGTTAGTGTCGAACCTATGATGTGAATGTTATTGATTATGTCATTATGGAGACTATATCGTACAGAGTAGGAGTTAGTAAACTGACCAAACACACAAACATTTTAAGCTAATTGATTTTTAGACGAAAGATTTAAACATTTAGTGACAAGTATAACTTATTAGCACCACAGTAACTTTTAAACGTACTTTAATACTTTCGATAAACAACCAGTTGACCACTCTAATTGTTTATTAATCCGCATCTTAGAGTTGTGCTGAACTACAGAATCCAGATTGTTGTGGTTATTGGATAAGGATTCCGGACATTTATCAAGCATGGAATCATTATGTATGGTAGGTGGGATAATCGGTTTTTCTGACATTTGTTTTATATCCGTGTTGATAGGAGTTGAAGACAATTTCTTACGTGAATTAATTGGAACTGGTAATGAAAACCCAGGAAACACATCAGGCATCGGTTTGAATGGATGAATAAATGCATTGGCACCTTGTTGATGAGCCCAAACTAATATATGATTTGATGCACAATGTGGTATAAGTTGACGCCATATGCCATAGAGACGATCCTCTACAGAAATATTTGACTGAAATACAAGTGAAATTCGATTGAAATAAAAATGGAAAGTAATGTGAATTGTCAGTCATATATACTATACTATACTATACACGATCATACAGGAAAATGTAGTTACTTTCCATCGAGATAATAATTATTAAAAGAGTGTAAGCAAAGAAATACACCGGATTTAAAGACAGTAACAAGGTTGCTAAGTATAATAAAGCTTTAATGAAGTCAAGGAACACTGGAATCGGGATGTGATAAAAATATACTTTGAAGAGAGGCCACACCAAGGACTGATTTCTAACTAGAACAGCTGATAATATATATGCACAATATCACCAATTACAATTAATTGGAAAAACACGAAGGTAGCTACTTTGCTGAGCTAAATTTTAAGCTGTTTGATTTCTTTCTCGATCGCTGCTTAATGTAAGAAATGTCTCATTAATGTTGGAATTCTCAACATTAGTTTACTCGCGTGCCAAAACGGACCACATAGTACAATCTAAGTAATTTGTTAAGGTAAACTACTGTTTGGGTTATATTAATGACAATATGTAAATTTAACAGAAATTATTTGAATTTTTTAACAATGACCTACTGACATATAGTTATTCTAATCCAATTCATTAGAGTTAATATTAAAAAATATTCTCGCTTTAATTGGTAAAATTTTCTTATCATCTCTTAGCTACCCTAAGTATGACAAAATATTTTCGTGTTATATCACTGCCTATTAATCAAGGTTCTTATAATGTTAAAAAAGGAAAAAGAAATCATAGTACCACATCGAATGGATGAATATTCTTAAGACAACAAGTTGAAGATGATGATGATAAACAACGCAGGCTTTTTTCTTTCTGTAGTGAACAACGATAGGGTAGGTAGACCGAAAGAATACGCACGTAAAAAGTATGTAAACATTGAAAAAAATAGACGATATGAAAAGGACTTTATTTTACTGAACATTACCGTTCCAGCAAAGAAATACATCATGATAATTTTGACAAGTAAATGGTGATAAAATAATGGAAGATAAACAATTTAGGCTATTATTTTTTACCATAAATGGGTAGAACTATACCAATTGTATAATGAGACTTTTATACAAATAAGTGATAATCAAATTGAATTCATGAATTCAACTGACTCATGATCTCAACTTTTGAAATTACTACAATCTCCACAAAACCCCTTCTGATACTAATCAAAATATGCTCACTAGTGACTGGCTTCAAGAGGTATTTACTGGAGTTCTACTGAGAAGCGATGACCAGTGGAGTTCAACCGGGTCTGTTGTGAGATAGTAACTCACTGAAGACAATGGTGGATGTGTCGCTCAATTTCGTGGATTAATTGAAGTTAGACATTAACACCATTGGATGCCGACCGGATCAGTGGTCTAGTAGTTAAGTGCTTGCGCTCAAGACTGATAGGTCCTGGTTTTGGATCCTGAAAGGTGGGACGCACACTGGTGAGAAGTCCTACAGTGGGACGAAACGGCCGTCCAGTGCTTCCAGGTTTTCCATGGTGGTCTAGCTTCAACTGACTCATGACCTCAACTATTCAAATATTTTATTGGTAAATAACGTCAATCTTATTTGGACAACTTTTGTCTATAAGATGTTTTAGAGATTGTTGAAGCCTAATATCACAGATGGACTTTAGTTAAACAACGATTGAAAAGTAGGAACCACTGGATAGTTGTTTTTTCCACAGTAATGCGCTTCCATAAGCCTATCAGGGATTGACGCAGGACCTTCGGGCCTAATTTGATTGGAATTAGGAATATTGAATGCCAATTCAGTTGTTGAATGGCTAAGTGTTGACCAAGAAGCCTGAGCGGCCTAAGCTTAATCCTGAGTGGTGTCCTGGACGCACACTGCTCAGTGGTTCCATACTCATACAAAACAGCTGTCCCATACTTTCTAGTTTCAACGGCCGTACAAACATAGTCAGTCCCTGATGTTGTAATTTTTGTTTATTTTTTCCTGGATCTTTTTAAATCACGTCATTAAAATCAACGACAGAAGAGATAGTAATTGAAAAAACTACTGGTCAATGCAGTTTTATTTGGATTTGCGATGCCTAAGTAGTACATACCTAAATCAATACATATGAAGACACGTAATCCAACATAAAGCCATTATTAGTGGAAAACATAAATCTTCCACCTAGTCAGTGTAACAGAATCCAATAGTGCATATTCATAGCTTTAGTCAACACTTGTGACACAGTCAGAGGATTACATCTTAATGTCATAGATGAACTTACATTACAGGTCACGATGGTAATTAGCTATTCGAGAAGCCTATCAATGATAAACAGATTAATATTTCGAAAAATGACCAGGTTAAGGGCAAAGTGAATCGTTTAAAGCATGCGAATTTAGGATTGTCAAACTAAATAGAATAAATAATAAATAAGAACTTTCGTTTAAATTTGAACGAATAGTTTCACAATATTTGGGCGCCGAGTCAATGTGAGACATTAAAGAGGAAGAATGTATTTGTAAAATCTCAGCGAAAGAATTTGAAGTAAATCCAACGTTTCGCTTGGCAATCTGGTCTAAGCTTTTTCAAGGAAAATATATTTGTTGATATGACTCATAGAATCAGCTTATATGTTAAGTGAGAATTTAAGATTCATAATCATAATAAATATGGGTCAGATAGGGTGAGAGAAATAATCGTGCAAATACAGTTCAATCAAATGTTTAGTAGAAGACTATATTGCGTGTAAAATTAGTAAGACATAATAATGTGGGATGAATGCGAAGTAAATGAATCCTGTATTGTGCAGATTAATAATGTTTAACCAATGATTAATAATAATAATAATAATAATAATAATAATAATAATAATAATAATAATAATAATAATAATAATAAAAATATTAGTCTTTACTAAGTGTTTACATGAAATTTAAGAAAAAACGGTAGAAGTTCAACGGATGGCGTTTAACTTTAAACTACAAGGTCGCAGCTTTGAGTGTTGTCCCACTTTGATTTGGGCAATCGAGTAGTATCAATAACCTTTACATATAAATTGTGGTTCAGAACCAAGTACACAAGTTTCTGCTTGACAGACGGGTAGCATTCTATTTACAATCCAACAACAGACCCCTTGAATTAGTGAACGTAATTCAATGAAGATTATTTTTTACAACTGATTCTATCGAAGAGTATTTATTTATTTTAACACATAGATATTGGTACAAGGAGGCACCAAATACATATGCGCCACACAAATCTCATTTGATATGTGTGAGGGCTGTGATACTGCCCGGGTGCCCAAACCGAAGCAGGTGGTTTCATTAGGGGGCCACTCCCCGAGCCTTCGACCTGAAGGTCTGATCCACAAGGCAGTGGAGCATCGTGAGAAGATGCAGTCCCATGGCAGTCGGTGACCAACAATTGGTTCATACGCCATTTGTTCCCGCAGGATACTGGAGCCCATGTGCACCATTGGTTTGGAATCCAGTTAAGGCGCCGGACATTCGCTTTTCGTCCTCTTATTTTCGTAAACAACACCCTCGCCACGAGAAGGCAGTGAGTAGGACCTCCCTGACAGAGGCTATATACGCGTGGCCATGTGAGAGCATTTCGATAGGGAGAGCGGACTCTCCCCACTCTCGTACGTACCAGGGCATTGGGGGCATTGCACAGTAAGATAAAATTGAACTTATAACTGTAAGAAACGTATTTAAAATGTGTGGGATTTTTGAACAAGTTTCTAATAATACGATAATAAGACTATAGCTTAACCTTTTACAATGTAGCATGAATAAAAATCACATCATTTGGTGACTTTAACCAAACAATCACTTAAAATAGAGAAAAGCACCATTAGTAAAAATCACACCATCAAGCATACCACTATTGGATCATTGTTTAATGAACGACCCTTTGGAAAATTTCGGTCTTTATCTTCAATGGAGTATGATGGTATATCAGATGTTGTTGGTAGTGTCGTTGTTGTTGATGCTGTTGGCATTGATGTTGCGGGAAAATGACAGATGATTGAAGATTTTTTAACAGCAGTAATATTATTTCCGGAATTTATCACGGAAGTTGAATTTTCAACAAATGATTGACAGTTAGATGAGTTAAGTGAATTCATATCATCTGAAACAATATTTCTACCTTGTGGAACCTATAATTTTAATGAGTAAACATAAAGGGAATTATTTCTTTATCCCATCGTTGATAATGATATGATAGTGAATGATGAATACTTATATAATGACAGACCTTTTTATCACAGACTGATGTCAGGCAGTGAAGACCAATGAAAACCAGAGATACCTGTTTCATCCTAGTATGGAATTCCTTAGGAAAGTATACCCACAAACCCCCCAATGATTGGAATCATGACCTTCAGATCTCAAGGCGAGGTCTCTGCCTTTAAACCGTTGAGTTAGAATCCATAATAGTCCCCATTTACAGTCTCGATTAATTTACTACATAGTGCGATCGTCCTCTGGTATCATTAACAATTCACCAACTGGTGTCATTCCGTGATTGCAAGACTTTCCGCACAATCCGCCCAACTAAATATTTATTTCCATTAGTAGGATGTTTAAAGAAATACGTTATACTTCAAGTAGATTATGGAATAAAAGTTTAATGGTCAAATCCATATATCATACAATTAACAGTAACATATACTGTATTATCAAAAACATAATAAGGAAAACCACATATAAAAACAGATAGTTAAAAAAATGTGTAAGTTTCTTTGTACACAGTGATGACAATCATGACATTCTTGAAGACCAAGTAGTGAAGATCGTATTTGAAAACAGAGAATTATATAAAGACGACAAATCAATTGATGTGATCAGATCGTGTGGGAGGCGAATTCATAAACATACCTGTAGTGAACGAGAACTCAGATGAGGAAGACCAGTTTATTGTTTGATGCAAAATTACAGTACTTTCGTAAAATATGAAAACCATACTTTAAATACATTATTTGCACATCTTCCTTCAGTTGTCCTTTACATGCATCCTGATTTCTTCAAATCCGTTATTACTATTACTCTCTGTTTGAATTCCTGCTCTCTTCAATTCGATCTTCTCAAACTTCTCCCAGGTCTTCCACTTCTGATTGGTGTTACATACTACTTATATCTGTCAACATAAGTAGAACACATCATATATATATTCTTGAGTTTTAATTGATATCAGTGGTGAACAGGTCCTCGTCTCCCCTCATATCTCGAAAAAACAATGTCTCACTTTTTACTAAAGCTCTTTACTTTGGGAATTTGTTTTAATTGTCTATGAAGTTTTTAAAATCACTTCTTAATAATCCAATTTACTTTTACTTCCTTTCAATGTCGCCTTGACTTGATACTATGAAAGCTTAATTAATTAGATTCATTAGAAAAAAGGTTAGCATAAAACATAAAATATTATTCCTTTCCCACCTCAAGTAGTTAAATCAAGGAATACTAACTAACTAAATGAAATGGACATTCTAAATTATATAAATCCAGTAGAAATATCAATTATAAGAAACATAGCCTATGAGCGATCGACTTCTTTAACACGTGAATCAATTTTTCGCATATATATTAACAAAAAAACAGAACAATTTAGAAATACCTGAAACAAATACTGGAAAAGCAAAGTTATTAATCAACTGGTAAAACTTATTATTGAGCTTGTTAAACACTTTCTTTTTTTTCGATACAAAAAACGCACAATAATTAATGTAAATATCTGTTAACTATGTAAATCATTTGTAAGTAGTACTCGTCACAGACTGATCATTGATAATCGGGTATTACATGATGACTGTCTAGTTCTAGTAACTTCTCAGGAGTATATATCTACGACCACATAGGGGGTCAGACTTAGAACCTTAAGCCCTCACAGAGAACGCTTAACCCGCAGAACCACTAGGTCGACAAAGCACGACCAACATTAGGGACAAACGTTAAACTTCTGAAATGTCTGAACTTTACAGGTTACAACTTCTGACTCAAACTTCAAGAAAGCCTTGAAGGAAATCGCTAGTGAATTGCCCATTACAGTTTATTCGAAGGAGGTTAGTGGAAACATGTTTAATTTGTAAGTAGTATTTGTCAAAGATTGATTTTATTTGTTAACGAGTGTCACTACCTCTACTAGTCTGGTATTTTCTCTAACAGTTCCATGTCGCTATGCTAATGAGGTATGGTAACTTGAAAAGATGTACATGTACCAGATCCTACACGGCGATTGAATGACTGACTGTTAACGAGTCCCGTACTAAGATGAAACAATTTTTCAGTGTTATCGGGTTCTAAATGGTACTTCAAAAGAGACTAATCTGTGGCGAATACTTCCAACAAACTATTTAGATCACCAAAAAACCCTTATGGATCAACTAAGTAGGTAAGTCCAGAAAATTTTATATCCTTTTGTTGATTTTCGCACACAAGGCAAGAAAAAATAACAAAAGAGGAAGATAGCATGTATTTAAATAATTGATTTCACAGTTGTTTAATAATCTTGTAAATTGGTTTACGTCAGTACAAGACAGGTATAAAACACAATCCCATAAAGAAAACACAAAATCCACTGAAGATCCATAGAAAATAACAAGATATTATACTGACAAGTGTCGAAAATTTTCCATGAGATCAACTCACATATATATCTCGCGAGAAGTTGATCTACATGGTGACGATTATATTTCTGACATAATATCGTAAGTAAATCAAGTGTTTTGTGTATTAAATCCTCGATTTAATGACTCAGGTAAAGCATCGGATTGATACCGTACGGTACTATCGAGCGCTAAAGAGCGAGTTACCATGATATAGAATGGAAAGTTGAAATCTGGTTAGTGTTTTTAACTTTTCCGATAATGTTTTACTGATTATAGCTTTCAAGAACTAAATTCCCATTATGCAAAATAAAAAGATGAAAAAGGTTTTCCTTACACTTCAAAATGAGATAATCGACCGGTCAATTTAATCAGAACACAGAGGAAAAAAATTCTTACGTCGGTGGATTTGATGAATGAAGTTCGCTCTGCTGAAACTCTACTCTTAAATAACGAAATAGATATTGAAAATCAAGAATTCAAAATATGTTGACAAAATTTTATATAGATGTAAGAAGAAAGTATGTATCGCGAAGGATACAAACCTAGGTTCAAGTTGACTGAAAAACGATTTCTTGTTTGTATAGTTCTCTAGTGCCGATCGAATTTTATCGATCAAGATGTTATATAGTCACAGATTTAGTTAATTCGATATTGAGTGAACTGTCCTTTGGTATATGGTGGTAGTTGAAAGGGATCAACAAGAAACATTAAACCAAGGTTTCCTGCAAATCATGGCTGGTCTTTAATTTAAAATCTTAAGGGGAATGCCCCTCCCGACAGTCACCAGCTACCTAACATAATGCAGCTACTTTGAAATTCTTTGGAAACTTTTCGCTTATCAGGAAGTATAACAAAGCATATTATCACATACCTAATCTAATGCGCCCACTTAAACGGTTACACTATCAAATTATCTTAGTGAACTAAGGTCATTTAAATTTTGATTCAGCAAAAAGTATTGTAGATAGAAAATATATTTAGACTAGTAATTTTGTAGTTTTTTTTTAATATGAGCGAGAATGACATATTATCTGATTATATAGAACATTTAAGTTTAGAGTCGCTTTGTCTGTTATTTTATGAAGACAGTAAAAATGTCTGCTTTAGTTGTTATAATTATTGTATGTAAAAAGTACCTTGAGTTAAAAGTTGCCGCAATATCCATTGAATTAATACGAAATGAAGGAAGAATACATTGTATGCTGTACGGAAAAATGTGTCACATATAAAAGGTACAATACTCAATTAGAAGAATAAGCACAGCGCAGAAATTTCTTTCCAATTAGTCTTTCATTGTGGCTCTACACTAATATATATATATATATATATATATATAAACAATGAAGTGATGCTCATCGAGTAGATCATATATAAGTATATTACTGTAGGACCGTGATGACAAACTAATTGGAAAGAAGTTTTTCTCGTTCTATTCATTCTTTTTACTGTGTCAAAGTGGGAACTTTCACTAATCAGATAAAAATAGACAAATACACAACTATTGTAACTTGTCTTAATCATGAGACTTCCACTATTTAATCCAGATTTTAAAATTTCTAGATAAAACTTTATATGGGTCATAGTTGATCAATCATCTATAAGGAAACTGAATTAAATTCTAGTCATGTCTCCCTTAAGTGATTTTAATTCGAAATTTTTTGGAATTAAACTGTCAAATATATACTATAAAGCGATTAGTGTAAAATCATTAAATGATGATTAAAATACTCACCTGTATCAAATTCTTAAGAGCGATACTATTAGATGGAACTAAAAACACATGTTTTTGTGACTGTGATTCGTAGTTCAGTGAATGAGTAGCATTTAACATTGAGGATGATGAAGGTGCGTTAACTGTCGAACCAACAGATTTTACATGCGCATTCAATGTCAAATCAGTAGTCGATGAAGTTAAACAAGTTTCATTCGTCGAACAAATTGAATTCACGCAGCAAACAGGTGTTTTCTGTAGGTTAGAATTTGTTCGCATAGTTGAACTGGATGTAGAATTCGATCCAGTGAGTAAACATGATAAAGCTGATGATGATGACGGTGTTCTTGTCAAACACGATCGAAATAACTGTTTGGATTCTTGTTCAGTAGATGATTTACATGGTACAAAGAGTATTGGATTTTCTAAACTTTTTAAGAACAAAAAATTCCATAAAATATACAAGGAAATATATGAATGTGGCCAACGTATGGAGAAACTGTCTGGTATTTTGCTCAAACATAAAAGGTGTAGCTTGATTAGGATTTCATTAACTTAATTTTCGGGCGAAAGAGTATTCAGTAAAACAATGACAAGAAAAACTATGTACTTCAAAGAGCAAAATAAACAATAAAGCATAGAATTTAAAATGGACGTTCTATACAAGGTATCGTTTTACTGGAAAGACAAATATCAATTTCAAGCTAGATGGTCATAGAAAAGAAAAAGAATGTAGATATGTTTATTTTATTGTTTGAAATTACAGAATGACTTGGTCAGATAACCAATGAAAACCAGGAATCACTAGAAAGCTGTTTCGTTCAGATATGGGACTCCTCAGAGGTGCGAATCTATGACTCTACCAGGAGTAGAGAAGAATGAAGGTTTCAGGTGTGAGTAGCTGATTCTCTGATAATACATAAGTATTTAATTTGCACCTCATTCTAACGAACTAATCATAATTCAAACAATAATTTAAAGAATTTCTTTGACATGAGTCGTATTTATGGAGCTCAAAAAATATTCAAAATAAAGATGAAGATTTGGTTACAATAGGATTTTGAGAATGGCTACTAACTAAATAAAATAGGCCAAAAGCCTGACAGATGAAATGGTCTACCTTCTTCACAGATTCGAATACTCACTGCACTTGAACTGATGAACTTATGTTTATGTTCCGGTAAAAAATAGCTAGTATTGGATTTTAAGAAGCAGAAAGATGACTTAGAAAGCATAAGTTAGATAATAATCTTCAATCAGGAAAAAACCGGATAAATTTGACACCTTTGTTATAGTGTCTATAATTTATGCAACTGATAAAAAATGATCATGTATACATCGGATTCTTTAGTTATACAAAAGTGACAATAACTTTATTTTGACAAATACAGTTTTTAACGTACTTTGAATCGAAAGCAACTGGATGGTGAGATTTGCTGTCAAGCGCAGGTAATATTAACTTATTTGAATGATCAGGTAAAGTAAGATAGATTGGTACATCATGATTATTGTCATGAACAGTTGACTTAAGATTATGATCAATACGTACACATTCTGTAACATTGAATAATGGACAAGAAGGATTAGGAAATTTTTCCATAGCATCCATTTCTGCTTCACTTGGGACATGTTCGTTTGCATTGATAATAGCTATTGCATAACCTTGTTCATGTGCTTTTTTGACTAAAGATATTTGACTGCCAGACTGTAGACCATGTTGAGGATGTAATAGAAGACGAGGAGCCCAAACGCCAGCCTGAGCGATTCCACCCCCTTGTAACAAAATAATGATGGGACCTTGTGGGTAAAAAAATTTTTAGAATGTAAAACTCTCATACAGTGAGTAGGATGTCCAGGAATCTGTCGAATTTTTAAAAGAAAAATAGAATAATTATAAAAAGGTAGTTAATGGGATAGACTACTTATAAGTAACCAAGAATTTATTGCACAATTTTATTGGTTGTAAACTAGCAATGTGATTCTGATGATGCGATTATATTGAACTACGTATCTTTTGTTCCTCTATGTGTTTTATATTGACTATAGTTGCTGGTATTATTATAAGTATCTCCTAACAGTTTGCAACCTAAGCTGAATCATAGTTTATAAAAATCCCTTTAGTGAATCAAATCTTTGTGGTTGAATATTTTATTATTATTTATTTATTTCAACACAGATAATGGTACAAGGAGGCACCAAATACATATGCGCCACACAAATCTCATTTGATATGTGTGAGGGCTGTGATACTGCCCGGGTGCCCAAACCGAAGCAGGTGGTTTCATTAGGGGGCCACTCCCGAGCCTTCGACCTGAAGGTCTGATCCACAAGGCAGTGGAGCATCGTGAGAAGATGCAGTCCCATGGCAGTCGGTGACCAACAATTGGTTCATACGCCATTTGTTCCTGCAGGATACTAGAGCCCATGTGCACCATTGGTTTGGAATCCAGTTAAGGCGCCGGACATTCGCTTTTCGTCCGATTATTTTCGTAAACAACACCCTCGCCACGAGAAGGCAGTGAGTAGGACCTCCCTGACAGAGGCTATATACGCGTGGCCATGTGAGAGCATTTCGATAGGGAGAACGGACTCTCCCCACTCTCGGCCGTACCAGGGCATTTGGAGGCTGTGGTTGGAGAACATAAATGATAAACTTGTGCAAAGGGTTACATTACTTATATACGCCTGTTACACCACGTAGAACGTAGGCCGCCTATAGGGATTCTAAAGTTTGCTTTATCCTGGGCTTTCTTTACCAGTAGTTGCTAAATTCTACTCGTTATTTTGGTGTCTTCCAATTTGCAGTGCAATTTGTTGTTCTTTCTATCTCTTTAACTTTTGCCTTCAGGATTCCAAGTTACGACTACCCTCTCAATGCAGTTTGACGATTTCCACAATGTGTCCTATCAAAATCCAGCACCTTTTACTAATTTCCTCTTCAAATAAAAGCTGGTTTGTTCTCTGCTAGAGTCAACTATTACTGATAGTGTCTGGCCAACGGATGTCGAGTGGAAAGCTATTTATAAATACCTGTACACTTAGGGAGTTGGTTGTAACAGTTCTCCAAGTTTCAGCTCCTCACAACGGGACTGTCTCGACATGGGCATGGAAAGTTCTGACTTTGATTTTGGTTGAAAGTTGTTTTGAGTTCCATATACTCTTCAACCATAGGAATGCTTCCCTTGCTTTGCTAATCCTTGCCTTTACGTCTGCATCGGATCCTTCTTTTTCATAGATAATGGTGTCCAGGTACGTGAAAGTTTCCACCCCTTCCGGAGTTTTTCCGTCAAGTGTGACTGCGTTGCTGTTTCGAATTGTATTTGAGGATCTTGCTTTTTCCTTTATATATGTTGAGGCTTACTGATACAGAGGTTTCTGCTACACTGGTTATCCTGACCTGCATTTGTTCGTGTGTATGGGACGCAATAGCCAGTTCACCTGCGGAGTCTAAATCGTCTAGTTGCATTCAAGCTGTCGGTTGTATTTTGCGCTTCCCCTAAGATGTGGAGATCTTCATAATTCAGGTTTATATTATTCGAATAAAAATAAGATAATACCTCTGAGGGCGGTACTTAGGCCATCATTTAGCACACTAACTCAGTAACGTATCTAATAAGATAGCTTAAAGAATAGATTGTAAAAACTATTTCCAAAATGCCATTTACCTGGTTATATTTTATTCTCTAGTTTAGACTAACTATGAACTTTACTGCTGCAAATATTAAATGAATATTCAACAAATGATTTCAATCATCACGAGAAAACTACCAAATACAATTCTATGACTAATATCAATATATCTAACGTAATAATTCGACTAGACAAAACCAGAGCTCTGAAAACTCTGATAATTAAATGTTATCATCATTCCCATGTCTTTTATATCTTATTTTCATAATCTAGATCAAAACAGTAAATTTGAGTACGGTTTTACTTTGTATAACACACCCATTCAATTATCTATAAAAACCGCATAAATACTGCGAGTTAATAATTGTAAATTTATCATATACCAATTCTTTAGAACTTGATTTATTGAGTTATGATGGAAAAGTAATATATTACTGATTTTTTCCATACATAATGAAATAAAATTTATATAATCCAACCATACATAGACTATGTAGTTATTTTAGAATACTCTTACCGGAACTTGACTTGATTCCATATTTAAAGCAAATAGCCGTTGACGAATTAAACGTGTACAAATCTAGATACAAAATAGATAATTTCACTTTAAACTATTGTTTCTTACGTTAAAAAGTCTAAAGTTTATTAAAAAGATTTTACCTAGGTTAAATAAATAAGTCTAGTAAACATTAATACGATAGTGTACTTTCAAAAATGTGGATTTTTATTTTCTCGATTCTAAATATATTTCAATTAGAAACGCTTTTCAATAGATTAATAATTTTATGAACAGAATGCAAAATGGTCGAGCTACATTCTAAAGAAAGGAAATAAAGTTTCTTGAATTTCCTAACACTGTCTTTCATTCACAGAATATATTTGAAAAAAACTTAATCATAAAGTTAGAGTAAGAAATGGAAAGAAAGCTCTCCAGTAGCTAAACAAACTTTAAAATGTAAAATTAAGTGATAATCAAGAGAATCATGATTATCCTTCCAAAATTATTCCCAATTTATTTTCAAGAATTCACATGGGTACAGAATGTTAAATTTTATTTTACACAATTTAACTTGACAACGAAGTAAAGTTTTTACAAGTTTTTTTTATGAAGCATACTCACAAACATAATGTGTGTATTCACAACCTCACTCACGGTCGATGGGATTCGATCTGCACTAAGAAGGACCTTGCATACATGACATTGATTACCACCCATTGATCAATTAATTGTAAATTATTCCATTTATTTACAAATTGACATCGAGCGAAAATAAGGAAGATAATTGATTAATTTTAAGTATGAATTATATACACGGATAATGAGTTCGTATATATAACCTGAGTAATAATTAAAATCCAAAGCCAAAATATGAAACTTTTCTGGTGGCACAGTAAATTAACGGAAAGTGCAAATTACTGATAATTTATAAATAGTAAACCATAGCATAAAAATCAACAGCCAAGTATAGAGTAACGCAAAGAAATTATCTATGGATAGTTGATATATGACAAGAAACTATTTATATATGTAACTTTTCAAATAATCTACTTTATTTGAATCGATGGGATTTGCAACAAGATAAGAGAGAAAAGCGACAGTATTTAAATAATAATTTGAGGTATCGTTGAGGATTAGCCACTTAGAACTCCAGATTAAACTTTGGGCATGAAGTTCAAAAACTTTCAAAGCCATAATTTAAAATTCTTTCTTAGCTGATACTAGCGGAGATTTTGGCAAGTGCAGAAGTATATAAGTGTGACAGTACATAATTTTAAATAAATAACTTGTATTTAGAATGTGATTTACGAAACAAACAGGACAGGCACTTTTACAGTTGTCAATTGTAAATTGGTGTATTTTGTTTTACAAATTGCACTTTTACTACCAAAGCTAATGATATTACATTATTATATGAAGAAAAGAAATTAAACCTGCAGCCTATTAACGTTAAGCTGATTCTTTAAGGTCACTAGGCCACTTTTGTGGAAATAAGTGGGACGGGGAAAAATGAGTGATGTTTAAAATACTTAAATTTAGTAAACTTACTGCACGAATAATTTCTTGTCTTTTAAGTGAAGGGCCTGTTGAAGTTACCTTTACACAGAATGTGTCTCCTGTTTGAGTATGACGAAGAATACCTTCTGGAATATAATTATCAAGACATTAGGTTTACAGCATGCGAGAGTTGATAAAATAATTCAAGAATAGATTTCAGGGAAATAAAACTAGCTAGGATATTCTTTAAACAATTCTAGATATTTGGCTTACAGTAAACAAAACGGGGAAAAATCTACAGCTTAAATCAATAACTAATGGAGGAGTGTTATAGAAATTTAGTAGATACGAAATATTTCAGTTTGTATGAATTAGTAATACATAGATTTTAGTAATCCATGGTTTTTTTCTTTTAATTAATCATGATTACTATACTTGTTTTGAGTAGTTATTGATTTAATTACTTATTTATAGCATTTAAACTGAACTCTTGCTCTTCAGCTGGATTTCTTTTCTAAAATACCTCATTTGCATGATTAACGAATTCTATATAAAATCAGTAAGACTTTAACACATTATACATAGGTGTATTCAATTAGAAATAAACATTATGTAGATGGTTAGCAAACTTCAAGACAAAATAACGAAATATGAAGACGATGAATTTTTTGTTGGACAAATTTTGTTTACATATAAATTTGAATGGAAAGGTTGGTTGATTAGTTTGATTTATATCAGACTACTCATACTACATGGTAGTACTTTTTTAAATAGTCTAGAATGTCATACAGATCATTTGATATCGTATGCACTGGGTAGTTTGTGAATAATTTATAAGTTGTTTATGTAACCTATGATGATATACCAGCATGTTTTCCCTTGTTATTTAAAGTCATTAGGTTTTCTCGGCCACATATGAAACCGACTCCAAACAATTGAAGTGAATTTAACCGATGTTCGATGGCTTCCATTTGACCGACATAACATGACGGTAATTCATATATGTGATATTCAGAAATTATTATCAGCCAGTAGTAGGATCAAAGAAATCTTATGCAGGTTTACTGATATATGGGGGAAGACTTTAAGTGATTAGAATGCGGGTGACCTACAACACTTTCTCCAAGTCCCAAGGATATATAATCACGTGGTGGACATCACTTGACTATCTCATGTCATGGTATTTTGTTTATCGATGGTCACTAATTAACAACGTAGGACCAGGCACATATATGCATCGGTTCACGTAACCACACCTCATTAGCACAACAAGATGAAAGCCAAGTTCATATAAGCAGTTACTTCAATGGTAGCAATATATATTTTAAAAAAGATTGCATATAAGGATATAGTACAGGAAGAAAGAATTAGTTCGTACAAAGAAAGATATGAAGTGATTTTAATTTCTTAGTTTAAGGGAAGGCAGAGAGTGTATACACCAATACCACTGTGATCGATTCTGAGCCGTTCCACCCAGAGTCTCTAACCATTGGTTACGATAGTTGCGCGAACCCCAACCAAGTAGTCTGCATCTAACAACATAACTGAGACTAGAAGTTAGTGGCTTCAAGTACTGATGCCACGTTTTGGTTTGGCCGCCCCGAACTTTCTTCCATCCGTCTCCAAGACTAGTCAGCATTAAGCATCGTGGTAATCGGTGTTCGGGCATACGTAACACGTGACCCAACCATCCCAGTCTATGAAGATTCACAACGTCATCAACTGATTTACCATCATTGTCTAATACCCTGCGTCCAACCTCACTATTACTTACCCGGTGATCCCAGCAGATGCCAGAAATATTTCTAAGGCATCTGTGGTCAAATTCTAGTAGCTTACGAGTGTCTTCTACTCTTAATGGCCATGTTTCGCTGCTGTAAAGTAGAACAGAACGGACTGCCGCTCAGTATACTCGTCCTTTTATTGATAGACGGATATCTCGCCTTCGCCATATGTGACGTAAGTTGGCAAAAGCCAAACGAGCTATCTGAATCCATGCAGAGATTTCGTCAAACATTAACCCATTACGGCTGATCAGACTTCCAAGATAAGTGAAGTTGTCGATGCGTTCGACTACTTCGCTCCCTGTCATTAGTTCAGGCGTTGACGCAGGCCAGTCCTAAAGCAACAACTTGCATTTAGGGGGAAACATATCCCAAACATCCTGGCACTATTTCTGAGTGCCACTAAAAGACTTTGCATTTTATCAGCGTCTTCACCAAACAGGACTGTCACCTGTGTATTCTAAGTCAATAAAAGGGAACTCCTGATAGAAGACCGATTCCCGATATTGCAGTTGATGGGAACATTATTTCCAGTAATAGGTCTATGATGGAATTAAACAAAAATGAAGATAGTGGATAACTTTGCCGGACACCACTTAAGGTTGTAAAGTCAGATGACAGTTCACCAGAAGCTCTGACTCGACTGGTAGTGTTCGAGTAAACAGCCTTCACTAGATTTATGTACTTTGAAGGTACGCCTTTCAATGACAGACACTGCCACAGAACTTTTTGATCTACAGAGTCAAATGCTGCAACTAAGTCAAGCAAAACCATCATTGTCGGACGCCGATAAACATGCCTATGTTCTAAAATCTGACGAATGGTGAATATGTAATCGGTGCAGACACGACCATGTCTGAAGCTAGCTCGGTTTTCTAGTGTTTGTAGTTCACGAGTATTTGTTAGGTGTCCGATAATTACTGAGGCTTGTGTTTTAGACGCTATTAGTTAAACAAATCCCTCTATGGTTATCACAAGATGTCATTGATCCTTTCTTATATATTGGGACGATCAGTGATTGAGACCAGTCAGATGGGATTATATCCAGTTTCCGAATTTTAGCTAAAATACTAGTCAACCTAATCGCTGAAAACTGGACCTCCATCCTTAAAGACTTCTGAAATTAATCCATCTGGACTAGCCGCTTTTTCTCGTTCCAGATTAGCTTAAGCCTTTTGAACTCTAATTAGAATTGGAGGACCTATTTCAGTGTTCCATTCAGGATGCTGGAAACGGTGGATAGCTGTAGATTAGCTGACTATCGATCGAGATCGAATTCACTCACTAAACAAACCGAAAATCCGTTTATCAAATCACAAAGGTCTCATTCATAACATTTATAAACTGACAAAAATATTGATATTATCAGAAATATACTGTATTGATTTGGGAATGGCCAGTCTGCTTAGCGCTTACAGCACTCAACTTTTAACGACTGGTAGGTCGAATATTTAAACTTTATCTATTTGCAGTTTGAAAAGAGCACGAATTAATAGCTCTCACATGAAAAGAATGGCTTTAAGTCGAATACATAAACCCATATATGGTAAATGAGTTACATAATCATCCAATCAGTTCAAATAGCATCTGCAGAAAAGTTCGACATTTGTTCGAGAATATTATCTAAGATAGCAGATAGAAAGTTTAGTTAAAGTAAATGAATAGATTGCACAGTAAAACATTCTACAATGGCATAATCGTGACATTTCGATTACATGGTAAATTTTAACTGATAAATTCTTTATTATCAGGTTAGATATTATTACTTGCGACTCTAGAGTAGCAATATTTTTTACCTGGGACTTCATTTAGTTGAAACAACACTTATCAAGAGACGTTATGAAGCGACAATAAATTTAACAGGAATATTATTGTACGACCATGGTATTTTTATCACATTACATTAATCACTTATTTTATTATTATTTATTTGAACACATAAATATTAGTACAAAGGTGCACCGATTACATATGCGCCACACAAGTCACTTGATTTGTGTGTGGGCTGTGATACTGCCCGGACTGAAGCAGGTAGTCTTCTTAGAGGGCCATACTCAAAGCCTTTAACCTTAATGTCTGATCCACAAGGCAGTGGAGCGTCGTCAAGGGATGCAGTCCCATGGTATCCGGTGACCAACAATTGATTCATGTGCCATTTGTTCACTCAGAATTCTGAGCCCATGTGCACCATTGGTTCGAAATCCAGGTTTCTCAACTCCCCTAGGCGGATTCTCCGTATTTACCAACCTGATTAAAGTGCCATATATTCGCTTTTTGTCTTCTCAATTTCTTAAACAACACCCTCGCCACGAGAAGGCAGTGAGTAGGGCTTCCCTGGCGGTGGCTGTGTACGCGTAGCCATGTGAGAGTATTTCGATAAGGAGAGTTGACTTTCCCCACCCTCGGCCGTACCAGGGCATTTGGGTGCAACCACTTATTTTGAAGGAAACAAAATGCAGAATAAACGCTAATATTGCAAATCAATGTAAGTAATGATACATTTTGATGAATTTGACACTTACCCGAATCAAAATCAAAACAAAAATCTGAAATTTGATGATAAATAGGCCGAACTAGTTCAACTCGACTAGGCAAGCTTGTGGGAATTTCAGGAGTGTTTTGAAGATTAGAATCCTCAGATTTGGTTGGTGATAATTCTTCCGTTGCATGGTGCTCATAAGATGGAATAAATTTGTCGCTCTCTTTCATGGTTCACTATGAGCTAAAATCTATTTTAAAAAAGACTGATGTACTTTGTTTGTTGTGTTTTAAAATACAGAACTAAAAGTTTACGGATTAAGTGATAAATTATGGCAATCTATCTTTGCTTAGTACCCTGTGGATAACCTCAGCACTGCTTACTTGACCATTTTATGATACACGTGCAATACTTTGAAAACGCTTGCGATTAAACATCCGGAACAAACACATATGTTCTACTTTCAGAGACCAGGTTTCACAGCCACAGAGTAGTACATAGTTCCACTCACCCTTTTATGGGCAGATGGATATCACGCCTACTCCATGAGTAATGCAAGTTGCCAAAAACAGTCATCTTTTTGAACCCGTATTAAGACTGTAAAACATCAACCCACCAGGGCTGGTGAGTCTTCTAAGACAAGTGAAATTTTAAAATCATTATGAAACTGGGCAGTTATTTCATCCTGATTCAAGACCTTTTGATAGTAGTCAATCACGAACATGACGTGAACACTTTATTTATCTACTAACTTGGAACTTATTAGCCTATGTTGTTTAACCATAGTAATCCGACGATATAGTACGATCGATAATATTGAATGACGCTTATTTGATTTTATTGATTTCACAAGTTACGAAATATAAAAGCTGAAGAAGGTTCCCAAGTGAGTCACTGAAGGCTACAAGACAATTTAACGCTTGTAGAAATTCTCGCTGATTCGAAGATAATTTCCACCCTGAACTGATGTCAGACTGAGAACCAAGGACCAATTATCTGAACAGTATTTCACTAGAGTGGAATCTTTGGAGTTTTAGTTAGGTTTTCGTCCTATCAACTTTGTAAACATCCCCACCACGAGAACGCAGTGAGTAGGACTTCCCTGGAGGTGGCTGTATACACGTGGCCACGTGCGAGCATTTCCAGAAGAGCAACCCCCCACCCTCAGTCGTACCAGGGCATTCGGGGGCAGATCCTCCGAAGACATATAAATGAATATACATATCATTTTTTAATGTAGAATATCACAAACATTTGTTCATGGAAAGAGGTAACATCATTTGCTAAAACAAACAACTAATTTTGTTGTTCTAAACAGGCGGAATTGAGGTCAGATGTGGATATACTAATTAATGGTAATAGTGTATTATCAATATTTCTGTGTATTCGATACGAGGAAAAACAGATAACGTTACACTAACTAGGCTGTGGATCACATTGTCTAAGAGGTAACTGGTTCCTGGTCTAAGTAAACAGGCTCTCTATTACTAATTAATAAAAGCATTTTTGGGATGAAATAAAGAGACTGGAAAGATAAATAAGATGTGAATATATTTGAACTATGAAGCTCGAGCTAACTTAAAATGTCCTCTGATTACGTTATATTATCTTATAGAACACATTGAGAAGTTTTAATAGGTATGTTACATAACATTAGTTTGGTAAAGATACAATGTAGCATGTTAAGTTAGTACAGTCTCTGTAAGTTGACAGTCGAAGATACTCCCACTGTTATGATTGCCAAAAAGATGTAACCGAAAACTTCCGTTAGTAATTAAACTGCGATATATGAAATTATAAATAAATATACAAAAACACAAAACCACAAATCACAATAATTTGTTGGATGACAACAATAACAGATTATCGGTTAGTGAGTCCTCATAATTTGGAACGAATATGTATTGCTCGGACATTTGAAATTTGTCTAGTCGGATAATTTGGTGCCTTTCACTAAAAACTCAACTTTTGAAATTAAGCACAACGATCCACAGTGTGGATTCCTGGTCCTAAGAATTTTCACTTTAAACATCTAAAAACCAGAATCAACAAAAGCCCAATCAGATCAGAAACCTTGTGATGACTTTGTAGGTTACAAAATTTATTTATAACGACTATAGCGACAAAATTGACATCGATCACTGAGTGACATTAGTATAGCGACGAAGTCAATTTTAGCTCACATTATCCTCAAAGTAAGAGGGAGTATAAGCTACGTATATTTGGATTGTCAGATCACAGGTTTGTACACAAAATATCACTGTTTGCTTTCGTTTTTATCCGGCTTCCCGAGTATTAAGTGATGCCCTGATAGGTTATTCATCCCGTTGTTTCATTGTTCATACCAACTCTTTCTACATGAAACTCATAAATAAATCCCGGCAACAACATTTCACGAAACTGATTAAGTGGTGTAATATTTATTTTTGGACTTTTTACCTATACTAATGTATCTTCTTGAATCTATTTTATCTTAGTAACTTTCAGTGCATCATGATGATAGTCTCATGATACTATTGGTTATTGTTCTTTTTTCCTCATGGTTCTTTCGAAATATTATGAGCAATTCGAATAGAAACTAAACATTTATCCTGAATTCATTTCTAACTCAAACCTATTATAAGAAAATGAGAATAACGAAAAATGTTGTCTATAATTTTAGTGAAATCAAATATGTTATCATTATTACTACGTTAGTCCTCTGCTTACAGCAGCACAGAATTATGCCGCTAGATACTGAAAATATTCCAGAAAAAGGTAACATCCATGAACTTTATTGGTCCTTTTAAATGAATAATATATGATCTGCACATTGGTTTACGAATCGCTTGTTTATTTGTCCGCTGACATAGATTCTATTAGGTCAAGTCGTGTTCTATTAAGCTAAGATGTGCATTATAAAAACAATTTCTTGTGGTAACTACTTGACCAGTTCTTGAATAATCGGAAGTTTTACGAAAGAATAGAATCCTAGTTCCACACTTGGGGCGACAGCGAACTGGATAGCTTATGACAATCCTTGTGATAGAAGTCCCTCAGTTGGTTCAACTTTATTTTGAGTGCATAAAGTTTAAACCATGAAGGCCGGCAATCAGCTGACAAATTCGCTCTAGGCATAAATTGGGGATGATAGCATACAAACTATCGGGATAACGAGCAAAGCGGAAGATTTAATTTCGAGAAATGCAAACGTCAACTAGGAATCTAAGGAAGTTCTCAATCGATTCCGTACAAACTTCATCAAAACTATACCAAACCAGCGGCCTTGAACGAACAATCAAAACTACACCTGCCAATGAGCGAATTTAAAACGCTGTAACAGATAGTATGTTGCTAAAAGTCATGTTATTCATTATAATTCGTATTTTAAAAGCTTTGAATGATGATTTTATTTTGTATCTATCTGTTAAAGTAGACATGCTTCTACTAGAAGTATAACAACTGTATCTGCGCGCTATTTAAAACGGGCAGTGGTATTTTCCCTCTCTGGATTAATTTTACTGTTTCGATCGTAAATTACTCATCAAAACTACTGTTTTCACTTAGGATGAATTTATCTCAGGTATAGTATTCTCTAAGAGTGTCGTTTTATTCGACGGTACTTAATCTTCTGTACTTTCAAGCACATTGGTTCGTTTTTATATTTGTTTGCACATTTGATCTGAATAGTTTTCGCTTTTTCTGGTTATTACGCGCTTATCCTCTCTTTATATTGTTCGTGCATAGTTTTTTTCGGAAGCTTCCGATCGATGGCCGCATATTTCAGAAAAAGCAATTGCTATCTCCCGGGATGTCGCTACACCATAGAATGTAGCTTGCAGTGCGATTAGTGCAAACGATTGGACCACGAAGTCTGCGTGAATCTAACGCTCGCTACTTTTTAACGGATCAGTAAAAATGTCTGCGTGTGATTGTGACAACAATGCTGCTCATACACAAACTGATTGCTATCCGAAGTCATTGCCATGGTGAATGCTCCTAAGAGAACTACTAGGCGTAGTCGAAACACATCGGACGGTACTCACTCGGTTGATACACAAATTTGTGTGAGGATACTACACATTAGCTCGGAATCGATTGACTTACATCGACCAAAGGAAAAAGGACCGATCTTAAAGAGGTTTTCAGAAATAAAACCTAAAGAAAAGAAGTTTATTCTGTCCGCCGTCCCCAAAATGACAGCTAACACGCCTAGAGGACCGAATCGCAAATATAGGTCCTTTAATATCTATAAAAGAAAAACCTGACAACCCAAGTCATCGACAATTATCCAGGATTACAGAGTGTGTGTGTGACTCGACTGTGGTTGATACTCCAGCGAAAGTTGATAACTGGGCCAGAGGTAGTGTAAGAAACGACATACTATTATTAAAGAAAAGACAATCCACGAAAAGTAGACGTAAAATCGAAAACTGTTCATTGAGTCAGGGATATTGAAAGATCACAACAAAGAGCTCGTTTTTGAGCATGACGTTGAGAAGACAAAACAGTAACCAAATCAGCTCATGCGTCAGGATATCCCCGGAGTCAATCGTAAAAGGTCTATAGACTGGGTAGCCAAATGAAGTTGAAATAGAACAAAAACAGGCTTGCAAATTTGTATTCAAACAACTCACTGAAAAGGGATAGAATACTACAGAATGGTTATAAACTAAAGGAATCAGGAGGTATGTCAGTTACGAGTTGACGCTCGCAGAACGTGCGAAAAGACGATAAACTGAAAAAAAGAAAAACTTAGGTTAGATGCTGAAGAAAAGGACCTACAAAATGTAAATTTTCGGGTTATGAGGCCTCAACGGAAAATGATGCCGAAGTTAAGATATTTATGTTGGAGGCAATCTATTAATGTGGATAAAAGACTTCGTGGTTGGACGCCAACAAATAGTACGGGTGAACTCCAGGTTGTCAGCTGGGAGACTGTGCTTACAGGAGTGCCTCAGGGTACAGTTTTGAGACCAATGTTATTCCCCTTGTATGTTAACAACCTTCCTAGTCTTCTATCATCATTTGTCTTGCTATATCCTGACGATGTCAAGATATGGAGAGCGGTAAAAAGTAAATGTTATAGCTTAGAGTTTCAAAATGACCTGGAGAGATTATCTGGCTGGTCTGAAATCTGGAAATTGCCGATAAATGCTTCAAAGTGCATTGTGATGCATATCGGTCACCAAGATACAAATACACACATGGTGAATAACATTGAGCTACCGATCGTCCAGACGCACAATGACTTAGGAGTCATTGTTGGGCAAGACTTAAAAACTACTACATATTGCCGTGCCATAAACGTCAAATGTTTTAGAACCCTATGGTCCATACGTGAGGCCTTTAATCATGTCGACGCTTGAACGTTTTTGACTTTGTATGCAGATTAGTGCGTCCTAAACTCGAGCACTGCATACGAGTGGCTAGCATCTGCTTAAAAAAGACGGTGAGCTTCTGGAAAAGGTTCAAAGGATAGCAGCTAAGTTGATTCCCGGAATAGCGAAGCTTCTGTTTGATGCTCGACTGGCTAAACTAAACCTATTCTCTTTGTCATATTGAAGAACTAGAGGTGACTTGATTTCATTTTTCAAATTCCTAAGTGATAATTTTGTCTGATATGCTCTCATTTTTCCGCCTTTCGGTTCACGAGAACACTCTCAAAACTTTCACCAACCCGGAACAAATTACTTACTTATTAGCTGACTATCGACTTTGCCATCAAATCGTCAACGAGTGGAATTTATTACTTCCGCAGCTGGATGGAGCTCCGTCTGTCGACTATTTCAAAAGAAAGTGGAGTTGATTGAGAGATAATCATTTCCAGGACTAACACATGGAACAAGCTTCTTGCCCATCCCAAAATGAAATTGATCAAGGTTTAAGTTTTAGTAGCTTCGAGGTCAGGATGTAGATTTACGGAATATTATCATCATGAGTTGGTCTAAGGAGGGCTAAAGAGAGGTGCTAAGACCTCAATCGGCGAGACATAAATTTATGGATGAACCAATCGAATTTACGGTAAGAGATCTTGGATTTTGGCGTGAAATTAATCCGTCTATTCGATTAAAAACATTTTAGCATTTTAGATGGTGTTGGTTCGTCTAGAAAAATTTTAATCTTGTCCCTGACCTCGACCATCAACTCTAAATCACGATACTCATCCTTCGTGCTGGCTTATAATTCATTTGGCACTAGTAAGTATATGGATGTTCTCAAGGTCACTTACACGTCGCTTAGAGGTCATCCACAAATTATAGTATCACCCTTAAAACCCGAAGGAAGTAAGAACGAGAATCAGCTTCAGGGTTTAATACAGAACTATTAACTCCAGTTTTTTCGAACTAACCCGCGCTTTTAAAGGTTGTAACTTTTTTTCACGTGGTATTATTTTATTTTCCTATTAGTTTTTCTCTTTAATTTAACACTTAATAGCGATAAATAATTCGTCACTGATAGGGTTCTATCAACTTGACGCCTGATTAGGAACTCAACGTCATAAATTAATCTTGCTAATTTTCACGCTATCTCTATCACCAATTAACGTTAATATATTTACTCTTAACTAATACTGGGTCTGATCCTACCATAAAACTTTACACGTTCACTAAGTTAAATTACAACTATCGCCGTCCACCTAAATAAACTTTGTATTTACATTACTTCCGATAATGTCCAGGCCATCTAAAAATTATATAATCTCTCCTGATGCCTATAGCACCTGCAAAAGATCTAAATCAGTCACTAAAGCGAATAATGTGAAACCTTATAAACACACTGATCAGTCTGCATCCTACTTTGATCTTCCCTCAGTCACACTAAACGTGCACCGTTTACTTGGACAAGACATATCACTACCTTGCATCTCGCTTGTCGATATAAATAAGAGCAGTCACATACCGTTAGAGTCGACATCATTTGTCAGTCCAAACAAAAGCATCACATGTTGTGAGCAGTATTTAGACAGTGCTGTTGACCCCAAACATCCAGCAATCTCACAATCGGCCATCCTGAGTAGCGGCCCACGGAGTACATGTAAGCCTGCCTACAATAGCCAGCCCGATGATGTAGATCTTGACTACTCACCCAGACATATACCCCATCCCCCAACTAAGTGTGCACAAAGTGACCATCCGCTAGACACCTGCAACAGGCCTGTATGTAACCATATCGACCTTAAAAACTTTGATATAAACTCCAATAATCTCACCACTGGTAGACCTAAAAGCAGCCAAACAGAACTTAGCCTCACCCAAACTATTCAACACCTATTACCGTACAAATATTTAATCAGTGTTCCGGAAAATCCCGATCTGGAAATTATAAAAAACACTGAAAAAGTAATTGACCATATATCAACTGAAGTGTTGAAAAGACTTCAGTGTATGCAGAATGTCATTGTGTATAATATACCTGATAGTACGAACATAAAGATTGCTAAAAATACTCTACTACAAGAATGTGGATTGTCGCAATCTTGGTGTGTAACAAGAAGATTACGTAAAGCACACACTAAAGCCTCCTGTCCCATTCTATTTCAGTTTGGTAGTACCACTGAAGCTAATCACCTCCTCAATAGTCAGTCATTACTGAGGCGTATTCCAACATTTAAAAAGATTAGGATCATTCATGACAGGACCGCTATCCAGCGTCGAATCTGCAATGGAACACAAACTGATCAACCCAGCTTACGTAGCCGCGGCACCTACAGCTCTTGTCGCTGCACAAATCCTAAAATATCATACACTGCCCCCCCCAAAAAAACGGAGGCACGTCGGACACTGCTATTAGTCCTAAGGACAAGACCGCATATAAAGCAGCTGCAACCACTCACCCTCAGCCCAAACACTCAGCTACCCCAAAATGCCAGACCACTTATGCCTCAATAGCGTCCAAGTATTACCCTAGCGGCCCCTATAAAAAGCATAAAAACGATCCTCCCAGGAATTGCGCTAACAGCTACAGACGCTCAGACACCGCTGTACGAAATAATACCAAACTCTGTAAAAACCCACCAATACTCCAGCACCCCTAACCCAAAACATGCACCTTCTCATAGCAATAGAATGTCCTACAACAAACATAGTGAACTGGCGAAACCCACTAATCCTAATGTGATACGACACTCAAAAAGAACCACACCTACACGTGATACCCATAAGTCATATAGTGTGAACCTGGTGAGCTCCATTAACCAGCACACAACTATACACAACAGAAACCTCTCTCTTGGCAACAATAACAGGCATCTCTTCATTCCTTACCAGAATCATACAACCTCCCCAACTACCCACAATAGGATTAAAATTGCCCACTGCACAC